GCACCACTGGAAAGGGGGCTTTGTCTGGGCTGTTTCACACACAAATAGAACGCATTTTCACTCCCAGGCAGATGGCTCTGTTGTAAGTATAGGCTAAACCAGGCTACGCTGCGGCTTGGAGTTTATTCTGCTATGATACAGTAATCTGGCATTATCTGTTTATCAAGCCGTCTAGGCACTACAAAGCTGGCAAACATTTAATTCTCCAGGAGTTGGTCTCTTGGATTAAAGGGAGGGTGGGGAACCAGCCGTAATGAAACTGTGAACTCCTCTCTTCTTTTTGAACTAAATCATGGGGGGAAATGTAGAGAAGTTTTTTTTTTTTCACTCGTCTCCTTTAGCATTTCTATGAAATCAAATAGGAGTGGGGGGGGGGTGGAATCGATCGTCTTCAGACACATTATCTGAGAAATTGTGGGTTAAATGCATTGTAAATGCATCCTTGCTCTTCTATCCTCTGCAGCCCCCCCCCCACCGCAATGTGCCACAAATCTGTCCAGTCCAGATTTGGACAAGCAGACAAGATGCGGCAGCACCTTTTGTGTAAAATTCCAAACCAGGGCCATCCTCTGGGAACACATGTCAGATTTTTCTCTCCGAGCAGGCACCCTGCTCTCTGGGGATATTAAAACATTGTCTCTAATATTATCACTATGTAGGATGGTGCAGGCATCATCTGTGCAGTTCTGCTGGCTTAAAACAGGTCCACCGCCACAGATTTGATATAAAGGAATAATGGTCCCCTCTCTCCTGCTGATGTGACCATTCCTCCGGAAGAGGGTGGATGTGCCTTAGTCTGGTTCCTCGGCTTTGACCATGCCTCTTTGGGCGAGACCAGCCCAGGGGGACAGACTGGCCCTCAGCTTCTCTGACGCTCTCAGATCCTCGCATCATGTCACCCAAGAGGGGGAAATGAGTATAGTGCTGGTCCATCATGAACCTGGGCGTGGAATGTCGTGCTGCACCTGGCATGTTTGGTTGAAGGTTTAAGTCCACCTGTGGCTTGTGAGCAGCCCGACTGCTCTAGGAACTGGTAATGCACCCTCAGCACCGCAGCTTAATCAGACACTTTGGAAGAAAATCATCACCTGGTCCGAATCTGTATGTAACACCTGCTTATTCATAGCCTGCTCACATTTATGTTTGATTGGCGAGCCATCAATATCAAGGAAAGAAATTTCTTTTCATGCTCGTTCGTATATATAAGTTTGACCTAAACTGATGTTAGGTTCTTTTTTGCATTCCAACATTTTGGGGAAGGTACAAAAAGGATCAGGCAGCTGGTGAATGAGAGATGGGCCTATGCTTGAGCTGGCGCCTTTCGGAGTAGTCAACACTGCGCTGAATGGGGAAACCAGCTGAAGTAGCATGAGGCAGCTCCCATGCATAGAGCCATACTTTAGAGAATAAAAATGTGAGCAGAGCAGAGCACAAGTCCAGTGCTGATGCCTCAGACTGCTGGTGTGTCCCCCGTAGAGCATTAATCTGCCATTTTTTCCTTACGACTGTCCCAGTTTGATGGAATTCCCTGCTTTGTTTCACATAATTTGCATGTTGAAGAAGCAGTAGAATTTGTTATTGTATCGGACCAAGGCTCTCTTAGTATTTCAGTAAAGCAAGTCAGGCCAGGTGTGCCATCTGGCAGGAAGCAAGCTTTATTCCCCATGTGATGGCTGGGGTTTTCTCTCTCCTCGACACTTTCCACTTGAACCAGAGGTTCTGTTTCAAATCATCCTTGGAGGTTTACTTTACCTTCACCTTTGTTTTCTCAAAGAATCAAGGTAGTGACATATTCATCTGCTTGTTGATTTTTAAATTGGACACAGTAGCTTTTAGACACAACTTCTTTACCAAGATTTACTCTTTGGCCACAGGTAATTTACTGACAGTCTGTTATCCTGGTTTGGCTGAAAACTATAATAAGCTAAGCATCCTGAAATCAAGTTTTGGTCTGAGAACTAGGACACTGGCATGAATAAAGAAGTTAAACTGGAAACTGAAACCATCCTTGTCAGGATCTATGGCAAATCTTCAAAAAACAATGTTATCACACTTAAGGAAAACACTTTAATTGTAATGCTAAACATACAACCCACAGTAGAGAAATTTGTTTTAGGTATTTTTTGAGTGCTTCTCTTTCATCACTAAACAGAATAGTACAAACTTTCTATTGGTCCCTAAAATTTAAAATCCTATCCATGTGTTTGTAGACAAACTGATTATTTAACTTAGGACCTATTAGGCAGCAGATTAATGTCTTATCTCTTAAAAAATGTTTGTACAAATGACAGCTAGTAAGCATCAGCTTAAAAGGTATTCGCCCTCTCGTTCCTTTCGGGAGTGTTAACCACTGCCCCATGTGGCAAGCCGTTCGCTTCAGCTTCTCAACGAAGGACCTTCAAGACTGGACTCGTCCTGGAAACGAAGCAGTATAAAAGTGCTTCCTGACAGTGGCATTTTGCTCGAATAACAACCGCAGTTCCCTGAGCTTTGGAGCCTCTTGTGCTTCTAGGTTTGTCTTAAGTCCTGATCATGTCTTGCTCGTCGGCCTTCTGGTTTGCCCTCACAACCTGACGGCTCTTTAGTCCTGGTTTACTGCAGAAACAGGTTGCTGTCCAGTCCTGATAGGTACAGACATGGTGCCCGGTGTGCTTGTGTGTTTAAGCACAATGGAGTTGTGCTTCAGAATTACTGTTTTCTGGTTTACCCATTTGCAAATTTAATGCATGTCTGAAGTAGGCAATCATCTAAAATTGATAGGACTGCAGCTGATCGTGGTGGCGATGCGTTCTTTCCAGTAGCAGAGGCAGCATCCCAGTGCAAGTCAGGTTGTGGAGGACAATAATGGGGCATTGCTGCCATCTTGTCCTGCCTGTGGGCCTCCCATGGAAGCATTTGCTTGGCTACTGCAGGAAGCGAATGCCGGACTAGACAGGAATTTGGCCCGATCCAGCATAGCTCCTCTATTGTGCATCTGTGTTTCAGGCACCGCTCTCTGTCCATTGCTCACATTCTATCCTTTCATTTCTCTCCATGTGAGCCACTTTAACAGGCCTGGGTTGCATCATTTAATTTGCAATGGGTATCTTTAATGTCGCTCGTTTGCCTTTGTAGTCCCACTTCCAGTTAGCTCAGACATGGATCGTGTTCCAATACCATTCTTCCTCTTTCTGTACTCTGCTTTCTGTACTCTGATTGTGTTGGCAATAGCAAAATCTCTGCTGAAGGTTTAGATTTGCTTAGCAAAGGGTATAGATTTTAATTTTAAACTGGATGATGACTGATAAGTAAATGTGGAACATTTTCTGGAATTGTAGATGAGAAAAGTAATGGCTACAGCAATTTACAAGGGAGGTTACAAGCCTTTGTTATAAGAAAGAGTAACTTATGTTAGCCTCTGGTATTTACTGACTCCACTGAGACGATGCCACAAATGACCTATGAGGTAGTGCAATTATAGCTGTCAATTAGAAACAGATTTGCCCTTCCCCTCTTCCCATCTGCATGACTTTTCAGCTGAGTGTATTAATTAGCCATTTGTACAACCTCTTGGTATATGAGCCTGAGATAACAACACAAGCCATAAATAGAGAATGCAGAACTCCTGGGATTCTGCTGCTTTTCCTCCCTCTGCACACATTCTTCCCACCCCACCCCAGGTAAACTAGCTGCCTTAAAAAAAAACCCCTTTAATACTTGCTATGTAATAAAATAAAACTGTCCTTGACTGTAGGTATGAAATATTACAAATTGGTGGTATAAGAGTACATAACAGGCAGAAGATTTGACACTCAAGCCTGACAATGATTTCATTGTTTCTTAGCAGTGGGCCTCACTTTTTTATTTTTTGGTGGAAAGGTTAGCCCCTTTCCCCTGCTCTGTTTCCCACATCCATTTCAGCCTAATTTGCTGCAACTGGGAAGAGCATTTTATTTATTTTTACAATGTTTATTATTGCTTTTATTTCTATATCTCAGCTGTATTTCCTCTGTGGGACCCACAGTGACTCACAGAATCCTCCACGCCATTTTATCCTGAGATCAACACTGTGAGGAAGGTTAGGCTGAGGGACTTGACCCCACGTTGCCCAATGAGCTTCATGGCCACTTGGGGACTAGAACCCAGGTTCTCCAGGGCCAACCTTCTGACTCTGATGACAATAGCACACTGGCTCTCTCTAAGCTGCCTTGGGTTCCTTGCAAGAGAAAGCAGGTGAGATGTAAATGTAATATATAAATGCAATTAGCCCCATGGATAGAATTGGTTAAGGGGATTCTATCCTGGAAATACAGGATGGGGAAAAGGTTAAAACATCCACTGAAAAGTTCAACTGCTCCACTCAAAACACCAGAAGGTGTTTACAAATGAAAATAAAAATAAAAACTTTGGGAAATTGGGTTACAGGACTGAAGAGACCAAGAGAGCACTTGGTTTCCTCTAAGTGCTCGTTTTACCATTGCTGTGGTTGCCATGCAAAGAAGCAGCAGCAGCAGCAGCAGTGCTGGGTAGACACGGTTTTGAGTTTCTCAAAGAGCAGGCCCCTCATGTTTGACTTCAAAAGCAATTTGCCATTAAAGGGCAGCTTCAAATACATTTCTGATATAGCATGGAGCCCTGTTAAAGGAAAGAATCAATTCAGAACCCAACCGAACTTGCATAGTTCTGTTGTGGTGGTTCAGTTGCAAAGACGTGCCCAACCCTCTGCGACCCCATGGGCAACATTCCTCCGGGGCGCATAAGTCTTTGGGCATGCCTAAAATAACATTTTGGGTTCTAGACTCTGTCACATTAAACATCATGGAAAATCTGAAGTGCAGAGATTGACCAAGGAACTTAAACCCATTTAGAGGACTTTTGTCTCACTCATGGATCTTAGCACTTTCCTCACATCAGGTCAGTTCTTCTACACGCCAGATCAGCTGTGAGGGACTCTGCATCATTTGCAACTCAATGTTTCTTAGTATAATGCAATGCACTTCTCTCTCTCCCACTCCCCACAGAGCCATCACACTGGAAAATCAGTTGGTCCTCCTTGCAACATCAGCAGCAGACGCTGGGTCTTACTACGTCCAGGCAGTCAACGAAAAAAATGGAGAGAACAAGACAAGTCCGTTTATTTACCTGAGCGTGACGAGTGAGTACTGCTATTTCATCCAATGCATTCTCCAATAAGCTTTGCACACAATGCAACAGACATTGTTCCCACGCAGGAAAGCAGCTTTAGCAATGCATCTCCTCTGTTGTATAATCTACACAAAGCAGGACCCTGAGAGCAATTCAGCTTCCAAATGGCGAATGAATTAAAAATGTGTATTAAGCAAAAGAGTCTAGGGGTCCACGGCTTTTAACCTGCCTCTTTTCTTACTGAGATTCATTTAAAAATACAAAAACAACCCTCATACTCACATTAAGTTGCAGTTTGAATAACAGTGATGGATTTTTGCAGCCAGTGTTTTAAAAAGTTAGATTTTTTCATCCCATGCACTGAGGAGTTTCCTCTGTTAGAATGGTAAGAATGCTTCTTAATAGGACTGCTTTAGCTGCATCATGAAAAGTATGTATTATGCATATTTCCCAGAATTCTACTGTAAACATCTCCGACTCAGAGTTGGACATGATTAACTAAAGATCACATTTTTTTTACATTTCTAAAAAGCAGTGCAAATATACATTAAGTTATAGCGATGTCAGTGATTCATATAGGGTTGTACATCGTTCTGAATCCACAGCATTCATTTACGGAAAGGCTAATATTTTATTTGGACAGACGCCCCTCCAGCCCGCTGCTGGCAGCCTCCTCTGTTTGGGAAAGTTAGCACTAGTCGTGTCAGTTCAGCATCAGGAAGTGTGGAAAACACTGTTTAGAAAGAACAGGAAAGAGTTCCACTGTGTTTCTGGGTCAGTCTTGTTTGCTTCTTTGGATCCCAGCCGCAAAATACTAGCAGTTATCCAAACGACTTCAGTCATATCAAAACACTCACATGCACTGAAACTTGATTAAACATGCCTAGTTTTTTAAAAGATGTATAGAGCTCATCTGGATAAATATGGCCACTTGTAGAGACTAGACAGTGGGCAGGGGCATATCCTAAACTAGTAAGAAAACTGTCGTGTGGAAACTACTCCGTCCATATGAATTGCCTACATATTCAGGCCTTAACGTGAAAGGGAATTTGCCATTTGGTCTGAGTGGCTGATGGCCATATTATGCCCCCAGCCCCAGTTCTTCTGCTATAATTCACTGTAGTTTGCCTTCATTATAATTCTTGCCCTTCACCCTCTCTATCGGTAGCAAGTAATAATCTCATTTATTGAGGTTAATACATTAAAGTTCATGGATGCCGTTGCAATGATGTAGCGAAACTGCGGCTCCTTTTTATCTATGCAATTTCATTTTAAGGCGGACCTATATGAGACACAGGCAGTGCCTATGTGTAAATGGTTTGTGCAAACTACAACTCAGGCAAGGGGTATCCTTTTGGATCGAAAGCTGTACAGCCCAGATTAGAATACGCAAAGCTGTCAAGGCCCAAGAAATGTGTAGAGACAGGGAATTGCCCCGGTGATATTTAGAGATTCCAACATGCAATAAATTAAGAAAGGCATTTCATGGCAATGTTTTTATGAGTGAGAGAATGATGAAAAAGCAGCCTTGCTAATTAGTGAGGTAATATAGGTGTTAAAATGTGACGCATTATTAAGGAAATGGCGGATCATGGTGATCCTTTCTTTTTGTCTTTTCTTAAAAAAATGCATACCTAACTTTGCAAGTGAAATTATTATACTCAAAAGGTTGGCAGATGTAGAAAGGGAAAAAGACTTTGTTCAACAGTGAAGCTACAACTGGACAAATCATATCTTGTGGGAAGAATCTGGGTAGGAAGCCAACTTCAAACCATGGGTTCAAATGCTGGTTTGTTCTCAAGCCACTAATGATACTTTTCCCAATTTGGATATGAAACTCTCGAGTTACCCAGAGCTACCCAGTGAGCTTCATGGCCAAGTGGGGACTCGAACCCAGATCTCCCAAGACCCTGTTCAGTGCTTTAACCACTATGCACACTGGCTTTTTGCCATTCTTTGCTAAAGAAGTGGGCCAACTGAACTGGCTTTGTTGATCTGTTCAGTTCAGACATCTGGGAATTCTGCATCTCAGGCTGCCTTCAGAATAAGAAAATGGAGAGTTGCCAAGGACAAATATATTGGAGGAGATTTGGGTGGGGTGGGAGTCATACAAGTGTGGCGCATGGGTGCCTGAGCCGTTCCTCATGGTGAGAAGACCTTGCCCATCATCTCAGTCTTCCCAAACAGCTCGGAACAGCTTCTGCTGTGGTGTTCAAGGTTTTTTGAGGGAGGCAGGAGTTCTGGTCCTCGGCTCTTACGCTGCTGGGCCTGTCTGCAATATGAGGACTCACAGCAGGGTGGGTGCTGCAGAAAAGCCCACCCAAAGACTTATCAAGGAATCCCCCCCCCCAAAAAAAAGCTCTCCTCGAGCCTTCATGAACAGTAACTGTGGCTTGTGGGACGCTGGGGTTATTTCATGATGATAGCCACCATGCCCCATCAGCAGGACACAGAAGGAGAATAGATTTGCCACAGCTTCCCCATTTTGCCTGGCAAAGCAGGCTTGATAATTACATTCCCTGCCACCTTGCGAAGTCACTTGAAGAAAACCTGAATAAAAGGTGCCATGTAACCTCTTCCTCGCTTGTGTATGTGTGTTTTTGGCAGCACAGGAAAAACAGCTCTACTTAGAATTTAATGACACTCATTTATAAAGCAGGCTTTAATGGTCTGTATTACATAACCACTAATGCACTCTGCAGCTCATTTTCTGATCTTAATTAACATTTGGGAATAGTCAGTCTGTGACCATGTGAATAAAACATTTACAATACACCATAGGGGACAAAGAATAGCCTGGACGTATAGAGAAAGAAACAAAAAAATGAAGGGTTTTTTCCTTTCTTTTTAGAAAAAGGGGGGCATGAAGTTCATGGAAGTGATGTTTTTGACTAATAAGGGAAAGTTTATTATGAGAACAGGAAAAATTAAGATCAAAGTAATACATCCTCTTGCCAAGGAGCAGGTTAGAAACTTAGTCATAACTGCTTTGATGATACTTCTCTGCCAGAAACAGCAGGTGCCAGAGATACTTAGTAAGGTTTCTTTTTCTTTTTTTAAATAAACAAGGGAAAGTGGGTGCCTTAAGGTTACAACTTAGGAAAAAGGAATATCCGAAACTCAGTAGACATTAACAAAGCTTTCCAGGCTTCCTCTCAGAGTGTGGTCCTGAAGGCCTATGCAGCAGATGATGGAAGAGACTTCAGAGCCAAAACCCTTGGGAAGAAAGCTCACCATAAAGCAAACAGAGTGATGAAGTTGTTCTTCTGGACCTTTCAGTAGCTTTTGAAACCATTGTTTATGGTGTTCTTCTGGATGTATTGGCGAGGTTGGGTCGAGGGGGCCTAGTGTTACCATCCTTTCAGGATGAATGGTTTCAGAAGATGGCACTTGGGCTCTTCTGCTCCACGCCGTGGCCACTGGCCTAAAGAATACCGGAAGATTCCAGCCCAGCCAAACCCAAGAGCTTTTCAGCATCTCCATGAAACGGCTGGGGGAAGTCATTTGCGTTGAAGCACTGGCTCCGTGTGGGTTCCCTCCACTCTGCCTCTCATTTCCAACTTGTAATCCCAGGGAGGATGAACAAACAAACTTTTGAGTGGCTGAGGGTGAACAAACAAACTTAATCCAGAACAGATAGAGGTACTGTGAGTAGGTAAAATGGCTATTTTGGACAGAAGAATCCAGCTGGGCGTTGCTGGGATCTCATGCTCCTGGAAGGACCAGGGGTGCCTTGTGGATGTGCTCCTAACAAGGGATGCATGAGAAAATCATTTCAGCTCAGTTTTGAGCAGGATTTACTCAGTGGCTGATTTACAGACACCTCGCCCTCCCCCATGTGTGTGACAGCGTATGTGCATTGCACAAATGCACACATTTCAAAGGAGTGCATTTCAAAATGGGCACAAACACACTTTTATTACAGGAGGGAAAATATGCATTGCAATAAGCAAAAATAAAGCGTTCAGTCTGCTTCCTACCCAAATCAGAATCAGTTTTAAGATGGAACGTGGAGAATCGGGCAGGCTCAAATTTTGCTGATTTGTGTATCCTTAGCACTTACTGGGTGGAAAGCCTTTTCCGCAGCAGAGGCCCTGTACCTCTGGAATATGTTTCTGCTTCTATAGGGATTTGTCAGGCCCCTTCTTTGAGGATCTTAATAGGCTCTGAAAACTCATGTATTTTAGCTGGTTTTCCCATAATGTGGTTTTATTGGTGCGATTTATAGCCTTTTATTGTATATTTATTGCCCTTTTGCTTTTTTGAACTATCTCGTACACTACCTTGAGGTGGGTTTACTGGTAGTGCTGGCATAAGTATAATCTTTTTCTGGTGAACTAAACAAAAGTTCACCAGAACAAGAAGCATAATGATCTGCTTATGGAGTTCTAAAGGGATCCGTGAAGATCTGTAACACACTTGTACGGTTCCCCAAAAACTTGGCTTTTCCTTTCCATTTCAATAGGAATCTGAACTGAAAAAATCACGGATTACCTCTAAAAATTACTCTGAAGTGGATAGACAGTTACCTCCAGATCAATGGTCTGTTGTATCTCTCTTAAACACTGTGTCCTACTTTTAGATAATGTAACAGTGCAATATTACATCTTTCCCCAAATGTTTTATTTGACACAAAGAGTGTTGCTTGAGTAAATGAGTGAAAGGCAAGTTGGCCAAAGGTGAGTAACAGTAAGCATTTTGGCAGCCTGATTGCTTGCACAATACTAATCATCTAGAACTGCAATTTAGGTCCCTGCTGTTGGACTTCCTTCTTCAAGTTATGAAATATAGAGGTGCGTGTCAGTTTGGTAGATATATTAGTAAATTAGATATTCTCGAGCCCAATTCATAATGTTGGGCGATACAATGTGTTTTGCAGACTTTGACATCTTTTTTCTGATGCCTGCTTTGAAAACCACAAAATAAGATTGATGAAATTTTTTAAAACCTTGCCAGCCAGCGGTTCTGAAGAGTCAAAAGATAATAAAGCCAATTATTATTTAACGAAGA